GGCATACAACATTTCTTAAGAACACCACGAATCACAGGAAATGAGTATAACCAGTTGTGTCAGGAAATGAGTATAACCAGTTGTGTCATGAAAAATCTGTGCATCAGTAACTTGTCATTGATTTTGAATTCACAATGCAAATGGACACCTACCCCAAACCCTTCCCTTTAAAAAAAGCTGCCTGTTACACAAAACTCGCATAAATGATTTCAACATACTAGTACAAAAGGCACCTTCAGTACCAGAATGCCCAACTTTTGGGAAAGAGGGGTTCCTATAAAAACTGATTTAATGAACATACCTGTGCTTTACGTCCTACTCCGCCGTTGTATCTTCTAAAAGGAACAATCTGTTTCTTATTAACCACATCTTTAAGGTATCTAACAGCTTTCTTCAAGTGCATACGTTTGATGGCTTGAGCGGTTTCTCGTGTGTTCTGTTTGTAAGAGAATCTAACATTTAATGACTACCAACTATTCGAAAAATGCCCCCCAATATTAAAGTACATAATCTTTGGCTACACAAGAACAAGATCCATGTAAATCAGGTAAATACAGGAGTCAAAACTGGCAGTTGGGTTGTCCCAGACAACCACTGGGGCAACCAAATATGAAAAAGTCACCCACTGGGACAACTATAGAAACCAATACAGAAATCACTATTAGCAAGTTCAATTGACTTATCATATACCAACATTCCTTGAGCAAAAAAAAAAGACATTGACCATGGAGATGTCTTTTCTTTAGCGCAATGCTTTGACAGACACAGTAAGTACCATCAGTTATTCTGGTTTAGTCTATCAAAGTTGGCATGGGCATTTAAGGTTTGTTGGACTATTATTCCATATAGACGACTATCTGCTCACACCCTCTTTCCAGCTACCATAACATTTGAGCTAAAAGTCAACTTAGATGATTCTTACCTTGAAATGGACACGTAGATTGGAACCCCTCGCTTTACATGCTGTCAAAACACAAGTAAAAACAAGTTAATCTTACCATACAATTCCAACATGTATCCATATCTGAAGAAAAGCTTACTCAAAGCTGGTAGAAATAGAAAACATATCAAAAGCATCCATTAAACTTACAAGATGTTATTTACAAAATACATCACCAAGGTATTATAATATGTGTATCGTTACTTGCTCTATTTGAAGCACATCTCCAATTAAGTAACAAACAGCCGAGAAATGCTTGATTTTTATGATTTTTTAGCACAAAAATGGCCGCCATTCGGCCATCTTGAATCAAGATCGTAAAACAAAATGATGTGCATCAAGGTCCTATAATGTCCAATGTATATACAAGGTTTGAACAAAATCCATCTGTAAACAGCCGCGAAATGATCTATAATGAATATTTAAAATTTGAACATAATCAGTCAAAGCAAGTCAGAGATATGGCATCAAAACCACATTCATTAAAACAAAATGGCCGCCAGTCGGCCATTTTAAATCTTATCTGAAAAACAAAATAATGTGCATCAAGGTCCTATAATGTCTAATGTATATACCAATTTTGAACAAAATCCATCAGTAAACAGTCGGAAAATGCTTGATTTTGATGATTTTTAGCACAAAAATGGCCGCTATTCGGCCATCTTGAATCAGATGGTGAAACAAATTGACCTGCATATGTGTATGATGTATGTGTGAAGTTTGATCGTGATTGGTCCAGGCATTTTTAAGATACAGGTCTGAACGCATGCACGGACAGACAAACTGAGGTCAAAACATAAGTCCTCGTTTTCGCACTGCGTTCAGTTTGATCAATATATTTTTAAAAATGATGAATAGCTTACATTTTGTTGGGTTCTCAGGGTCCTGTGAATAGCGCGTCATTTTGACAGATGTTAACCTGCAAAAATAATGAAACTGTCTTTAACAAATTATGTTACTAGAAATTGAAAACAAATGTACGATACTACTGACTACACAATAAGTTGCCTAAGCAAGGCAAAGAAATATTGAGAAAATAAAAAAAGAACATTTTGAGACAAGGGCCTGTTTATACAACCTTTTACAATAAATAATTTCTACATGACACTTTGAATATTATTTCTGGTTAGAAAATGACCAGACTCTTATCAATATATAGGATGCAACTATGACACACTAAAGGCAGTGGTCGTCACGAAGACCTTGTTCAAATTTCATGTAAACAATGCATTTTATAAATATTGTGTTTGACGCTGCGAGTCCTATATCAAACAGGAAGCAGCAAAACGATCA